TTCCCCTTTAAGAGCATGTATGGTTGACCTATGGTCAAGGCTCTTGCGGGGTCCAGACCCTGGTTTGGTTCTGGTCCGTGAAGGGAGTTTATATTGCACCCCAGTGGAGTAAAGAACCAAGCCCCAAGGGTCCACCAAACAGAACATCCAGAGGTGGTTCAGGGCCATTGGGCTGTTGTCTTGGCCAGGAATCACTGGGAGCCTATAATCCCACCATGCATAGGGGCTTTAATAGCAGAGGGAATAAACTCAAAGCTTCCATGAGGTATCCCTCATCCTTTAAGCCTGTGAGCTCCAAGAAAGCAGGGCTGGGCCCATTTCCCTGCTGTGGACTCAATGCCAAGGGAACCCCACCACACACACACGTGTGTGGGGTGTGTGTATGCTCACTGCTCAAATATTTTTTGGCCGAATGAAAAAATGGACCTCAGGCTTGAAAAGGCATCACAGCTGTTACCGCTTGTATTAGTGTGCTTGGGCTGCTATCACAAAACACCACAGGCTTAAAGAACAGAAATTTATTCTCTCCCAGTTTTGGAGCTGGAAGTCCAGTCAAGGTGTTGGCAGGTTTGGTTTCTCCTGAGGCCTCTCTCCTTGGCTTGCCAACTGCCATCTTCTCCTTGTGTCTTCAGATGGCCTTTCCTTTGTGTGTGTGCATCCCTGGTGTCGCTTCCTCTTATAAGGACACCAGTCTTGTCGGTTTAGGTCCCCACCCGTATTACCTCATTTAACATTAGTTACTTTTTTATTTTATTTATTTTTTTGAGGAAGATTAGCCCTGAGCTAACATCTGCTGCCGATCCTCCTGGTTTTGCTGAGGAAGACTGGCCCTGAGCTAACATCCGTGCCCATCTTCCTCTATTTTATATGTGGGATGCCTGCCACAGCATGGCTTGATAAGCAGTGCCATGTCCGCACTTGGGATCCGAACTGGTGAACCCTGAGCCCCCAAACTGGAACATGCGAACTTAACTGCTGTGCCACTGGGCTGGCCCCCCCCAAAATACAATAAAAATAAAAATTGTACAGTTTAAGGGCATTAAGTACATTTACAATGCTGTGAAACCATTACCACTATCTAGTTCCAGAACATTTTCATCATCCCAAAAGGAAACCCTATACTCATTAAGTGGTGACTTTTCATCCCCGTTTCAATAACTTGATAACCATAATTTTTTTAAGCCATTTTATCTTCTGTCACTTTATAAAAGTTTGGGTTGAGTATCTTATCCAGACAGTCAGCCTGATGCCCCAGAAAAAAAGAATCATGACAGCTTCCAAGAAATCCAGTGGAAATAACTGTATTGTCATATATGTCATAACTGGTTAAAAAAACAGTTTTATTATGGCAAAATTTTAGCCCTATTGCTAGAAGTAAGTTAATTTTTGAAAAGATTTTTACTTTCCCTTTTTCTCCCCAAAGCCCCCAGTACACAGTTGTATATTCTAGTTGTGGGATCTTCTAGTTGTGCTGTGTGGGACACCGCCTCAGCGTGACTCGATGAGCAGTGCGAGGTCTGCGTCCAGGATCCAAACGGGCGAAACCCTGGGCCACCAAAGCAGAGCGTGTGAACTTAACCACTCAGCCACAGGGCCAGCCCCATAATTTTTTAAAAGTATAAATTTAATGTCCCCCATTCAGAGGATTTTAATTACAAAGAAATCTAAGAGTGTCTAACTGTCTTAGAAGTGACCATAGGAACAGGGTTGTCAATCAAAACAGGTATCTATATCCAAGCAATGTTGAAAATTCAGGGACACAGGACAATGAGACCCACCATCACGATGAGAGTCAAGCCAAAGAATGTCATAAACAAGAATATAGAGAAAAAGGAAAGTGAAGAGATCTTAAGAAATACACTGCATATATAATTCAAAACAAAATTAAAAGAAAAAAGCTGCAGGCATGCTATAAATCTCCACCTCAAATGAGCAGCTGTGAGTAGTGACTATGGGGCACAGGATTGGTTTTGTGGTCTTGACCTACCTTAAACACAAAATAGAAAAGAACAGTTTCCATATTAAGGTGATAGAAGGTAGTACATCACTAATATTGTTTCTAGCCCAAACCCACCCAAACTAAAGTAAAGGAATTTAAACACACACACATGAACCAGGAAAACAGGCATCAACATTTTGGAAGCTGGAAAGCATGTGGACAAGTAGCAAATAATATAGTAGACCCAAGAAAGCCGAGTCTAGAGCAGCAGTGATAAAAGCTGAGGAATGCTGAGGTACACAGCAGACTCCTCCAAAGATTCAGGCACTGACACCACCAGATACCCTCGTCCTGAAGAAGGGGGGGGGGGGGGTTGAATTAAGGAGGCTGGGGTAAAAGGTGTTCAAAATACAATCCCTGCCCCCCACACCAACCTGAAGTTCTCACTCAACAGAAGTTGGGATGCTTCTCTGGAGAGAGTAAAACAGAGGCTCTCTAAACGGGAGGATACCACATATAATTGGCTTCAGGTACAACCAGAAACAGAGAGAGTAAGTGACCATATGCATACCCCTGCCCACCTCCTTCCAGCTCAGCTCCCAGGGGCTGACATCAGACCTTTCCCCTTCAGTCAGGAGCCCAAGAGAGTCTTCTCTAGGAAGCCAGACCAACCAAGAGGGAAGGCCTGAACACACCGACCTCAGGGGCTCTCCAACTCACAGACTGCCCAGACACTCTACAGTAAAGGACCTCTGCGCCGACAAGCCTCATCCACTTGTGCAGAGGTTCCAATCAGCATTTTCATCCCTCCTCTTATTCATGAATAACCAAGAGTTACTGGGCATTTAAGGAAAGCCTCTAATAGGAACAAGTAGATCCAAATAAACAGATTAGAGCAACAGCGCATTCTGTGGACTCCTCAAAAACTTAAAAATTTTGGGGGAAGGTAATATTCCACTCAAAACAAAATCAGAATGTTATTAAAAAGAAATATTTAGAAAAATCAAAAAAACCTCCTGGAAATTAAAAAACATGATGACAGGCAAGAAAAAAAATCAACAGGATTACAGGATAAAGTTGAAGAAACCTCCCAAAAAACAACAGAGATGGAAAAATAGGAGAGAAAAGATTAAACAAAGTGGAAGGTTGGTAGAGGAGGTCCAACATCTGAATAGTAGAATTCCAGAAAAAGAAAGAAAAAACAGTGGGGATGCAATTAAGTAATTACATTTTCCAGGACTGAAGAACATAAGGTTTTTTAATTGGCAGGGTTCAAAGAGGGCCAAGCACATGGGACGAAAACCTACTGTCCCCAAGGCACATCATCATAGACCACTGGGGGAAAACTAAACTTCTAAGAGCTCCAAGAGAGAAAAAGAAACTGGTCACGTAAAAATGGCTGCTAGAAGACCACAGAGCAATGCCGCTGAGATTCTGAATGAAAATGATACCCAACTGCATGCTGTCAGACTACCAAGAACAGGGAAGACAATAAAGGCACTTTTGGATCTTAGTCTTAAAGTTTTCACCTCTCACACACCTTTTCAGGGAACCTAATCCAGGATGCATGGTACCAAAAAGGGGGAATAAATAATGGGAATATGCAGGACACAGAAAACAGGAAATCCAACATAAGAGGCAAAGGGAATTATGAGGATGGTGAGATGCACCAAGTAGGGGGAAACCAGTCAGACTGGAGCAGGGGCAAGGGCTCCACAGCTGTACTGACCTTCCCCTCAAATGAATAGGCACAGAGAAAGTGGAACATGGAAACATGGCCTTTACCAACAAGATCAAGGATAGCGGGTAGCCAAGACCATAAAGATGTATGTTTCCAATACAAATGACTTAACCAGAAGCTTCACGACTCTTTCAATCAATCTTAGCAAGAGCAGTTTCCTAAAACTTAGAAGCAGAGATAAAAAATCTGCCTGAACTAAAGGAATTCTGGGTTATACATACCTATATATGCAGATGCACAGGAAGCTGTTAACAGCAGTGGCCTTAAGGGGAGGTGGGTCCCTGGGGAAGACATACGCAAACTTGCTGCTATTTACCCTTTTTTATTCTTTTGACTTGTGTACCACAAACAGTACTTGTTCAAAAATATATTCCTAATTAAAGAAAAAAAAAGGATGAAAATGAAAAAAATCTGAGCTTCATGTACAGCAAGGAATTAGTTTTATGAAACTTGCTTCAGTTAAACATATAAAACTATTTAATATACATATTAATATATATTAACTAATATGTTCACTATAAATGTGTTTAACAGATTGTGATAGAAAATATTTTTTTAAAAATTTTATTTTTCCTTTTTCTCCCCAAAGCCCCCTGGTACATAGTTGTATATTCTTAGTTGTGCGTCCTTCTGGCGTGGCATGTGGGATGCCGCCTCAGCATGGCTTGATGAGTAGTGCCATGTCCGCGTCCAGGATTCAAACGGGTGAAACCCTAGGCTGCCCCAGCAGAGCGCATGAACTTAACCACCCGGCCACGGGGCTGGCCCTGATAGAAAATATTTCTTATTGTGGGTTGTAAAAAGAGTCTGAAAGTGCTAAACCAAGTATCTCTGTAACTAACAACAACTGTCTTTTGGGCCACTCAGTGGCAAAGTGGTTAAGTTTGGTGCATTACACTTTAGTGGGCCAGGTTTGATTCCTGGGTGCGGACCTACACCACTTGTCTGTTAGTGGCTATGCTGTGCTGGTGGCTCACATACGAAAAAAGGAAGATTCGCAGCAGATGTTAGCCCAAGGCAAATCTTCCTCAACAAAAACAAAACAAAACAACTGTCTTTGCTTCAATACCTCCTGAGCACCCACTGAGTCCTGGGCAACACCAGATCTAAGACGTTCATGCACCAGTGGGCAGATGCACACACAGAATCAGAAAAAAAAATCTTTGTTTCAGCATTCCAGGTGCAGTGCCCACTTGTCTCCTCTAGGCTTTCCTCTGTAACTGCAGTGTTTGGGAGAGCCTCTGGACAATTGAGAATTTATGGCTTTGTACAAGCATACCACTGTGGGGAAACTATGAAAAAATACAGATGACAGGACACTATTGTTACATCATCTTTTAATTTTAAGGAGTATTTTCCTAAAGCAAAAACATTATTAATAAAATCATAGGTCTGGTCCAAGATTTCTTAGTATCTTCTGTAACATTCCACTCAGAAGGTAGAAAACCACAAAGTTCTTCCCTAAGGAAGGGTGCAAATGGAATGTAATATTGCATTACTGCACCGTATAGAATAGACTGTGAAGACAAGGAAACCCAGTTATTCCATTCCCCACCCCCTAGGATCACTTTTGCTGAAGAACTGCTCACTTAACATCCTAGGAGCTATCTTGTTGAGATCTGCTACCATGATCCAGCAGCGATCAGCCTTCTCCAGTTAACATAACAAATGTGATGTCGCCTACATCCACCCTGTGAGAAAGCTAAAAGGACAAACCCTCAGCATCACACATCAATCTATTAGAGAAATCATGCACATCATTATGTTTCTGTCAAGATCCTCTAACTTAATAATTTTTAAATAGCTAAAATATAATCGAGGTCACCTGGGCACCATACCTGGAACTACACACAAACATACCCTGATCACAAATGTTCAGCCTCGTGGCAACAGCACCTACAACAGTCACGGGCATAATCACATTTTCAAACATTGAGTGAGAAGTAAACACAAGAGGGCATTTGGACAATGGCGGAGTCTTGTTCTTGGTAGCAGAAGAGAAGTGACTGGCTAAGGAAATAGGTTTATGGATAGGCATAATCTAGAATCCAAGTATCAGAATCACAGGATACTTGAAGGAGTCATAGCTATACATAGCCTAACAGACAGTCTGACATTTTATATTAGTAGTTTCTTATACAAAAGTTAAAAAAAAAAACTAACAAAAAACAACCCAGATCATTTCTTTTTTTCTTTACCATTTTACTTCAAGTTTGGTCATGAAATCATGACACAGTCTAGCCTAATGGTCGAGAGAAATTTTTCCAGTTGCAAGATGCCTTGCTATGGAGTCATTAATTAGTAAGCTCAAAGTGAATCCTGAATTGGATACAAAAATTTGTGAAACGATGATATATTTCTCAAAATTTGAAAAACAGGAGACTTAAGGCAGATGGTAACACCAAGAAGAGCCACTCAAGTATTAAAAATGGCATCCTGGAAATGGGTCATAGCAAAACCTAATTTCCTATTTCCATCATACGGGTGAAACTATTCAGTCAGTAGAGAATAGAGGGGGCTGCATGGTTAGGCTGCACCAAGGCTATTTCCCTCTGATACATCCACATAAGGAAAATGACTTTAGTACCCTATGTATGCACTTATCCCCAGCAAGACATTCTAGTCCCCTCAACCCCACTGTGTACCTGGGAAAAGATAGTAAGAATTCCTTAAGAGGTAAAGACTGAGAGGAACCTACAGGCTCACTCTGGGAAGATGTAGAAGTGTCATGGAAAAGGAGCACCACACGATGATTTTAACAGCTTTTTTTTAACTAGAGGAATCTGTGTCATGTATACACCATAGGAAAAGTAGGGGGGCCCCTCGAAAAAGGTCATGCAGAAAAGTTAGATTCATAAGAGAATCAAACATTCAAAGTAGGCAAAAATATGGTGTATATGTTTTAAAACAAGAAAATAAAAAAATAATTTCACCATGAAATGCCTTGATTTGCATGTGACTCAGTACTTATTTCATATTAACCAGATCCAATTGCTCTGATAAATCTCTATTAGATATCTCTTTCAGACTATCTTTTTAAAAAATATCTATTTTTAAGCCAGAACATAAACCTACATTTGTACATCTGTGTACAAACTATCCTGCTTGGTGTCTTCACAGATCCAAGATACTAAAGATTAATAAAATAATTTTTTAAAAACCTCAAGTCACAGATTAACAAATAATATATTTTCTCAAGTTTTCTGGATTATACTACTCAAAGTAACTTGTATTAATCTACTCTGGATTTCCAGATATAAATACTAGTCAATGGTTGATTGGCCATTAAATCAAAAGTAAAATTACTCTTAGAACTAGGTCATAGTATATGGAATGCCTTAACTTTTCTTAGTTCAAATCCTGTAATTTGACCCTAAAATACATAATCATGCCCTTTTATGTGCTTTAAGCTCACATATTGACTTTGCAGTCTATACTCTGTAAGAGAGCGGGTAACTCTAGCACAGAAGAAACTATATAATGTGGCATAGGGTATGACTTCAGTGGCACTATTCCATTTTTATTTATCCAGACTGTTGCTTTCAGCCCTGCATTGATGCCTCCTTGTATATCGGTTTCTAGTGTGTCACCAATCATCACACAGTCCCCAGGCTGTACTCCAAGGAGATCACAGCAGTAATAAAATATGGAAGGTGCTGGTTTCTCTTCTTTCTGCTCTCCACCTACAACAATAGCATCAAAATAGGACTGACAGGCACAAGCCTCGATCTTCTCCCTCTGGGTCTGTCTGTCTCCATTTGTTAATAACAGTAGGCGGACCTCCTTTCGAAGTTCAGTGAGCATGGCTTTGACATCTTCTGCTAGTGTCATATGCTGCAAACGTGTAGATTTCCACAGGCAATAACATTCTTCAGCCAATTTCCTATTGGCTGTACCACCCTTTGTTTCCTGAATTGCTTCTTCCCAGTGTGAAGTCCTTAGATCAGTAATGCATGTATTGGATGGATGAAAACATTCCTTGCTGAGTTTAACTTGAACTTTGTCACAGATGATTTCAGCCTCTTCTTTGTAATGGTATTTTGATTGTAAGAGCTTTATCACCTAAATAAAGGAAAATAATTCCATCAACACACTTCATGTCTTTAATAGCCATGCCTTAAGAAGCTGTGATCCTATAAACCCAGAGCAGAGAGATTCTAACTCTAATCATTCTGTCTTAAGGCAGCTCTATTACCAAATCATTTTTGGTGAGAATTCATTTTATTTTTAAATAACACCAGAGTGAAGATCTCCCAACCTCTCTAGACAACTCATTCACATTTTTTACCAATTTCTATTCTAAGAAGATCCTTCATATATAGCTAATAAAAATCTTTTATTTGACAGTTTAAGTCCACGACCGTTCATTCTGGTCATGAAGACATGAAAATAAAACTTTTGTTGATATTTAGTAAGACATTTTAAATTTCTAACAACTATTATTTAGACTCTTCCCAGAAATAACACTAGTTTATCTCAACTTTTCTCATCTATATCCATGTTATGTTTTGAAGGCCTAAATTGAGCACCATATAAAATGGGACCCAATTCTATACTTTGAAAATGTGTATATAGCTCTAACAGAATCAAGCATGATCTGTGATTTCAGCAGCTTAATGACTCAGTGCCTCTTTCAAATCTTGTTTTCCAGAAAAAAAATTCAGGTAGTTGAAAGTCACCCTCTTTGTTGTGCTGGTTCTGAATCCCTCATCAGAATTAAGCACTCCCTCTCATGCTCCCACAGCTCTTTATTTTGGCTTTTATTACATTAGGTTCTTATCCATTTGGCCTGTCTTCTAACATTTTCCAAGACCTAATGGGGCAAACATTATGCCCAGTGCTCAGACACATTATTTCTAACCTTTTCTACAACTCTGCAAGGGAGTTCTCTTTGAGACGAAGAAATGGAAGGTCAGAACTGTTAAGTAACTTGTCTGAGCTGGTATTTAAACCCATGCTTGCCTTTCATTACTGTACTAGGCACTGGAGACCAGGTCCCCTGTCTTCATGACATGATCTGGTAGGGAAAATAAGCAGGTATGCAACCACCACAAATGCTGAGTTGAGTACCATGACAGTTGGGTGAACAACTATGGAAATAAAATGGAAGGAGCAAGTCATTCCACAGGGTTGTTGGGTAAGACTTGGCAGAGGAAGTAACATTTAAACGAAGGAGTTAAGAGGGTCGGGATGGGAAGAGGATAAAAATCATTCTAGATAGAAGGAATAGCATGAACAAAGACAGAGCTTGGAATTTTGTGAACTGGGAATGGCAAGAAGTTGAGTTCAGCTGAAACGGAAAGGATGCGAGGGAGGATGCTAAGAGATGAGGCTGGAGAGGCTGTTTGGAACCAGTTTGTAAAGGGCCTTGAATCCCAGGCTGTCGCAGATGCTACCCAATTCCCTTGGCACACACTATTCCCATACATTCCAATGGCTTCAGACTGTTAAGTACCTGGGTTTCTTTGCCTGAGGGCTTTATTTGGTCACAGCAGCACCCATGCACATAGGCTGGGGCTGCAGTGTTGCCCTAGGAGCAGGCCTCCACCAAAGAGGGGTGGAAATTGGCGGATAAATATTACAGCTTTCTGGCCCCTTGGGAGGGATAAGTGAAGCATGTTCTGCATACTGTCTCCCAGATTCTCCACCTATCACACCAGTAACACGCTCACACAGCCTGTATTATATTCCTTTCCTGTCTTAATGCCCACTCCTCCACAGCACTGCCTGGGATTACCTCCCAAATGAATGACCTTCACTGGAAGTCCCTGTCTTAGGGACATCTGGGGAAAATCAACCTTGCCAAGATAATTTTGGGTCTTTGAGGATGAGTGCAATGCACATAGCTGGGACTAAACATTGCTGTCGAAGCAAAGAGGTCAAACAAACCCTAACTATACAGGGAGTGAGTGGTATGCTACTCACAGCAGACATTCAATTCATCTACTAAAAAGGGGGAAAGGGATGAACAGACACATTCTTCTTCCTTCACAGTATAAGAATGACTTACACCAAAAGTACAGGAAGTATTTTTCAGGCTATTTGTGCTCATCAGAAATTGTAATATTTAAGAAAAGTCTTATTAGTCCAGAAAAATATACCAGTGCTAAGAATTTTAGGTGAAGGCAAAACACTGAAAATTTTTGCCTTATAAAGTTAAATCTCAATTAACAAATTAAACTTTTTCAACCTCCATGGTTTCGTCACCATCTTTCCTAACAGTGTCAATTGAATCACTCTTGAACTATTGTTGAAGGTCCCTCTAAAGCTTTAGCAACGCTACTGCTACACAATAAAGGACACAGGCATCTAGGACTCCACAGTGCTTGGAGCCTAAATAGGAGCCGGCTCATAATTAATAAATATAGAATTCCCAATAAAGATCCAACTTCCTGTTACTGCAACTGGCAATTCATTAAGCACAATCTTGGGGCTCTGAAAAAGAATGACCCACCTTAAAAGGGAGATTCTTATAAAGGAATAGCATACTGCTCCCAAGTTTCAAAATTTCTTCCCATTACATCCCTTGAATTAACTTTCTCATCTTGTCACATGGCAACTAATTACCGATTCATGTGGGATAACAAGTAGCATTTTAATATTAACATATTTGGGAAAAAAATTTATGTCACTCATGTTAATAGTAGTTCAGACAGAAATAACACCTAAGTGGAATTAGTACGTGTTATTATTAGTACAAACTCTCTTAACAGCTGCACTGAGAGAACAGAAGTTTTGATTGAATTGATGTGGAGAAAAAGATCTCTAACTTGGATGTGTGATGACATTTTCCATAACAGTAAGGCAGGCTTGAAAAGGATTCTTAGTATAAGCCCACCAGGCATCAATAGGCTTGAAGAAAGGGGCCCTAAGATAGTGGTGGTGGGGAATACTTTGCAGACATAATACAAACTCAAACTTCATCTACTTTAAAACTCTAAGGCTCTATCTTAACACATACAAACTATGCCTGCATACAGCCTAACAATTTAAGCAGCCCTCCTGTTATTTTTTGTTCTAGTCTTTGCTTAAACATCATCTACTCAATGTGGCCTAATTTGACCAACCTATTTAAAATTGCAATTTGTTCCTCCCTTCACTTTTTCTAACACACTTATAAATCTGATGAGTTATGTTCACTGTCATCACCACTAGAATGTAAACTCACAAATGCATAAATCTTTTCTGCTTTGTTCACTGAGAAACCCCAGATTTCTGTAGAAGGCTTCCTCTTGAGTAGTGACACTGACGGACAGGCCTAAAGAGAATGCAAAGAAGTAACCTTGCCAAAAGATTAAAAAAAATTAAAGTTGATATAGTCAGTATATGACTTCTCCCCAAGCCCAAGGCCCTTCCTCCTTTCATGAGTCATTCAGAGTGATTTAGGAAAGCTGGCATGTTACTTTTGAATAGACCAACATTTATGGGTGTTGTATTCTTGTGTGATAAAGCATTTCTTGTAAGTTAAAAGCACAGTTCAATTCTGCTCATTTCATAGGATATTTATAAAGGGAGTGGCAACAGAACCAAGTCTGGAGACCTGGATTTGCATCCATCCACCCAGCATTCATTCAACATTTACCATGTGTCAAACCAAGATGACTAAGACAGTTTGCTCCCTCTTAAGAGGCTCACTAGTTGTGGGCATCTGAGTTGCAAAAACTAATTATAATACCCTTTGACAAGTACATCAAGAGATATATGAACAAAATACAGTGCTGGCATAAGGGAGGGTGTAAAGGCCAAGGAGAAATACAATTTGACTTTTGTTTCAGAAATTTCACTGTGGCAGGAATGTGGAGGATGAACTGGACACAGTAAGCCTGGAGACAAGACCACAGCAACAGTCTATACAGGAGTCCAGGTTTAACTAAGACAAGGGCAGGGGGACGTGCAGGAGGGGATGGTCTGGGTGACGTGGCGATGGTGGTACAGTACATCAAGTGAGCGCTGGATGGTTAAGTACTTCACGTGCATTATGTAAAACCCACCTGATAGGGTTATTTAGGACTAATACCACTATTCAAATATTATAATGAGGATGTGAGGCTTAAAGTGGTTAAATAACTTGTTCAGGCACTTTCAGGGAGGCATTGGGAGAGCTGTGATTCAAAATCAAGAGTCTCATTTTAAAGCCTGAACCCTTGGCCTACAGCACCATTCGGCCTAAAACAAGAATTTAATTGCAACACACTGGCCTTTGCTGCCAAGGACAGACAGGTACATATGTATGTACTGTGGGCTGCTGGAGATACTGGCAGCAACCCAGCACAGGGTGGTGCCTGAGATGGAGTCAAGGGTATGAAGGTGGAAGAAGAGTCAATAGTGTGGAAAGCCTCAGTAAAGTCTTTCAGACAGACTTAAAATGTCCACTGATTCTGGCAGTTTGGGAGGTGCCTAATGACCTGTCAAGTCTATTTCATTCTAGTTGCAAAGACAGAGGCTACACTGCAATGGACTCAGGAGTAAATAGGAGGTAGACACATGGAGGTAATGGGTATAAAGTTCTCTTGAAAAACATGACTGTCAAGAGAGAGAGCTAACATCTAGTGGAGGAAGATGAGTCCAAGGGAGGTGTTCTTTTTTTAAAGCATGGGACAGACCTGAATATGGAGGAGTAGAATGCATCAAGAAAGAGGACGAAGATCCAGGGAGACAAAACCTAACTAATGAAGCTTGAAGAGGACGGGACGCTCAGGGTTGGAAGGATGAACTTCTGGAGGTGGGTTTTTCACATCTGATTATCCTTGGTTACTCCTTAAAGCTGAAGGCAGAGGAAAGAAAGCAGGGGTGGATGAAGGGCTGGAAGAGCGCGGGAAAGATACAGCATCTGCGGGTATAGAAAGGAGAGGCTGCTGCTGAGCAGTGCGACTCAAAGGCACGCGGCACAGCGGGGGCTTGTGCTTTGGGGGTCACCCCAGGAATCTACGAAGGGCAGCGCCCGCAGCAGGGAGACCGGAGAGGAGTTTCCGCGGAGAAAATTCTCCGGAGTCGACTAAGTTCAGGGTCCCACTGACAGTTGTGAAACTTCTCGGGTCTCCTCAAAGATCCGCCGAAGCGCACGCGGTAGGGGGACGACCCTCCGCGAGGTCACTCACGGGAGGCCCGGCGTCTGGCGCCGGGACCGTCCTTCCGTCTGCGGGCCGCTCTGCCACCGCGGCAGTTTAATGACATCCTTCCGGGCCCCACGCGCTGGAGTCAGCTCCGAGAGCCCGGCTTCGCAGGGCCGGGCCAGCCGGGCAGGTCACAGGGCCGCCACCTCCCCAGGCCAGTCCCCGCGGCCCATTGTCACGGGGGTCTCAGAGAACGAAGGCCAGGGGCCCCTGGGCCCTCCGAGACGCCCGGCCCCGGCGCGGTGTGAGATGGGAGCGGAATGGCGGGCGTGGGTGGGGAGTAAACCGAGGGGCCGTGGGACAGCGCGGGACGGCGTGGGGCGCGCTGATCCCGCCCGCGGGAGGGCCGCGGGAGCCGAGACGTTACCTCCAACATGCCTTTCCTACTCGCCCCGGCCGTGTCGATAAGCGTGTTGTCCAGGTCAAAGAAAACCGCCCGTACCCGGCTCAGCCCCATCCCGCCAGCCGGCCGCGCGAGGCGCCAACTTGCCACCGCCTCCCACGCATGCGCGAGGCGGGCGGGCAGACGAGGGAGACAGGGGCGGAGCCGGGAGGTCACCTGACTCTCCAGCGCCGCCGGCGGAACTCCCGCGAAGTGTCTCAGTTCCTGAACGCCTGAGACAATTGAGATCTCGCGAGACTCCGGAAGCGTGGTCTATAGGGTGCTCCGGCGGCGCGCGCTTGCGTTCCCGGGAGAGTGGTTATCTGAGTAGTTTGCTTGTGGTGGGTGATTAGAAGTGCGGTTTTCCACTTTTGTAACGTTTCTGGTTATCTGTTTTCTGTTTTTATGTCAGAGGGATGTTATAACTGTCGGGGGTAGTTTTTCTGCGCCATTTGGCGCCGGGGAAGGAGACTGAGAAGAAGCGGGTTTTTCCGATTAGGGGGGTTATCGCAAGGGGCGCTGCTGGCGGCTCGAAAGGCGGCGGTGCTGGGCCTGCCCGGGCTGGAGCGTGAGCGTGTGTCCAGCCTGCTGGGTCTGCGCTTGGAGACAGGCACTGTCGGGAGCGGGAGCACCGAGGAGGCGAGGGCGTGAGAGCCAGAGTTTTAAAATCTTGCTTAAAAGCTTATTACGCACGCCGTGTTTTCCAAGCTCGAAACCGCCCACGTGGGTCTTGTCCAGGAAAATGATCTGCAACCAATCTGTAAATGAAAATTGAGGTGGGTTTATTCTGAGCCAAAATGTGAGGACCATATAGCCGGGGCGGCCTTCCCCAAGGAAGGAAGGGCACCAAAGAGGCGGGGTGTCCAGAGTGGTATATACGGTCACAGAGCACGTGTCCCATGTGATTGGATTGTCCCTTTTATAGTAGTGAGATGGCGCTGTCGGCATAGCGATTGATGGACAGCAGGTAGCAGGTCTGCTGTTTCAGTGGACAGGCAGGGTGGCAGGTCTGTTGTCTCGAGCTGGGTGGTCAGAGGGTGGGTGCAGCAATCAGTTCCTAGTCTAGGGAGAGATGCTTAGCCTTAAGGAAATGCCATTGTAGGGGAAGCTGCATCTTTACCTTAAGGGCATTTGTTCTTGTCTGTGGACACAGGAAATGCTTAAAGCAGATGTGCAATGCATGTGCAACGGCCACTCTGGAAAAAGCAAGGTCAGGCCAAATTAGATTTATACCAAACAGCTTCCTCATATACTGCAATATCCTATGGCTTGCCGTTTGTTTATTAGTCTTAATGTGTTTATCTTACTAGATTATAGTAACTGTGAGAGCTGGAGCCCTCACCAGTGCATTTTTGAAGGGTGTAACCTGGATGTCTCACAGCCTGTTTAAAGTTTGTGCACACAGACTGAGGGCTCTGTAGTGTCTGCTCGATGTTTTGTTCACCTTGATTGCTTTTTCTGAAGGCCTGGATTTCAGGGTCTTCGAGTACCTCCTAATTGGATGGTTTTCAGGTATAGCAAAAGGCCAAGGGACCTAGCCCGTCTATTAAACTTCCAGAAAGGCAATAACAACTGTTTGTCTTTATCAACTTTAAAATAGCCAGTTATTTTACTGACAAATGAGTTTATTTGGAAATAACAAAGTAATTGTAATTCAGGATGTGCAAACTATGGTGAAACACAGGCAAGTCCAGAGAACAAAGGAGGGGCGCTTGCTTTTATAGAGAAAAAGGGGGAGTTGTGAGGGGCTGTTGTAAATGAAAGCTCTTTGGGGAGGAGTAAGAGTTCAGGGTGGTTTTGGCTCCTCAGCAGGGTGGCTTTGGCATCTTCCATTGGCCTGGGTTGTTGCTGGGCAAGAAGAAAATCTTCCTTTTTCCTCCTGGGGTAGTATAGCAGCAACTTCCTGTTGAAGATGCAAGGTATGTCTCTTCCTGTTCGGGGTGATTGAGGATGAGTGGTGGGGTGTGAAAGCTCCCTTTGCAGGCCTTCCCGACTTCAACTTTAGTTGAGGTTTCCATTATTAGTTTTCACACCTTCTACTGTAGCAGAACAAGAGTCTTGAACTAATCTAATCTTTTGTATAAGTTGCTCCTATTGGGTAACTTTACTGAAATTTGGATCTGTGGCCCTCATCAGTGACCAGAAATTGTCTATCAGGTAGAACAGGGCTGCAGGCCACCAGATTTTGTTGGATCTGTGAACTAAGAGTAGTTTTTATGTTTTTTAAATGATTGAGAAAGATTGAAGAGTATTCATGACACATGAAAATTATATGAAATTCAAATTTTACTGTCCATAAATTTTTATTAAGGCACAGCCACATTCATTTGTTTATGTTTTGTCCTTTGCCCTATAATGGCAGAGTTGAGTAGTTAGAAGTGAGACATATGGCCTGCAAAGCCTAAAATATGTACTATCTGGGACTTTATAGAAAAAGTTTGCCCACTCCTTAGGTACATGATTAAGAGTTGGGCTGCTGGTGTTCAGTTGAATTAAATCAATTGTCTTATCTTTGTGTTAATAGATTTTTCTTCTGCATTGGCAGACTATAGTTTCTATATGTTTTCGAGCAGAATCACAGTTGACCTCTCTTTGCTACTGTGGAAATTTAACGTATATCCCTTCCTCAAACGTGACTCCGGTTACCCTGTTGATGTGCAGGGCTAGCTTATCAATTTTTAAAAATTTTTATTTATTTATTTATTTTTTAATTGCAATAACATTGGATTATAACATTATATAGCTTTCAGATGTACATCATAATATATTTCAAATTCTATGTAGATTACATCATGTTCACCACCCAAAAAGTAATTATAGACCATCCCCTCACATGCGAGCGTAATCACCCCTTTTGCCCTCCCTCCTTCTCCCATGGTAACCACCAATCCAATCTCCATTGCTATGTATTTGTTTGCCATCGTTTTTATCTTCTATTTATGAGTGAGATCATACGGTATTTGACTTTCTCCCTCTGACTAATTCCATTCAGCATAATACCCTAAAGGACATCCATGTTGTCACAAATGGCCGGATTTCATCATTTTTTATGGCTGAGTAGTAGTCCATCGTGTATAAATACCACATCTTTATCCATTCGTCCCTTGATGGGCACCTAGGTTGCTTCCAAGTCTTGTCTATTGTGTATAATGCTGCAGTGAGCATAGGGACGCAAGTATCTTTATGCCTTTACGTTTTCAAGTTCTTTGGATAAATACCCAGCAATGGGATGGCTGGATCATATGGAGATCTATTCTTAATTTTCTGAGGAATCTCCATAGTGCTTTCCATAGTGGCAGCAGGAGTTTGCACTCCCACCAGCAGTGTGCGATGGTGCCCTTCTCTCCACGTCCTCTCCAACATTTTTTGTTTCCTGTCTTGTTAATTATAGCCATTCTGACCAGAGTGAGGTGATACCTCGTTGGAGTTTTCATTTGCATTTCCCTGATAGCTAATGATGTTGAGCATCTTTTCATATGCCTGTTGGCCATCCGTATATCTTCTCTGGAGAAATCTCTGTTCAGATCCTTTGCCTATTTTTTAGTTGGGTTGTTGGTTTTTTTGTTGTTGAGCTGTATGAGTTCTTTGTATATTTTGGATATTAACCCCTTATCTGATATACGATTTGCAAATATCTTCTCCTAATTGTTAGGTTGTCTTTTTGTTTTGTTGATGCTTTCCTTTGCTGTGCGAAAGCTTTTTAGTTTGATGTAGTCCCATTTGTTCATTTTTTCTTTTGTTTCCCTTGCCCGGTCAGACATGGTACTTGAAAATATGCTGCTAAGACTGATGTCAAAGAGCATACTGTCTGTGTTTTCTTCTAGAAGTTTCATGGTTTTGGGTCTTACATTCAAGTCTTTAATCCATTTTGAGTTGATTTTTGTGCATGGTGTAAGGGAATGGTCTGCTTTCATTCTTCTGCATGTGGCTGTCCAGTTTTCCCAACACCATTCATTGAAGAGACTCTCCTTTCTCCATCTATGCTCTTGGCTCCCTTGTCGAATATAAGCTGTCCATAAATGTGTGGGTTTATTTCTGGGCTCTCGATTCTGTTCCATTGATCTGTGTGTCTGTTTTTGTGCCAGTACCATGCTGTTTTGGTTACTATGGCTTTGTAGTATATTTTAAAATCAGGGAGTGTGACACCTCCAGCTTTGTTCTTTTTTCTCGGGAATCCTTTGGCTATTTGGGCTCTTTTGTTGCTCCATATAAATTTTAGGATTCTTTATTCTATTTCTGTGAAAAATGTTGTTGGAACTTTGCTAGAGATTGCGTTGAATCTATAGATTGCTTTAGGAAGTATGGACATTTTAACGATGTTAATTCTTCCAATCCCAGAGCACAGAATATCTTTCCATTTCTTTGTGACTTCTTCAATTTCTTTCAACAGTGTTTTACAGATTTTGGTGCGTACACCAAAATCTTTCACCTCTTTGGTTAAGTTTATTCCCAGATATTTTATTCTTCTTGTTGCAATTGTAAATGGGATTGTATTCTTAGTTTCTCTTTCTGCTACTTCGTTGTTAGTGTATAGAAATGCAACCGATTCTTGTACTTTGATTTTGTATCCCGTGACTTGACTGTATTCCTTTATTGTTTCTAAAAGTTTTTTAGTGGATTCTTTAGGGTTTTCTAGATATAAAATCATGTGGTCTGCAAAGAGTGACAGTTTCACTTCTTTTCCAATATGGAGTCCTTTTATTTATTTTTCTTGCCTGATTGCTCTGGCTAGGACTTACAATACTATGTTAAATAAGAGTGGTGACAGTGGGCATCCTAGTCTGGTTCCTGTTCTTGGATAGCTTTCAGTTTTTCTCCGTTGTGAACATTTGCTATGGGTTTGTCATATATGGCCTTTATTATATTGAGGTATTTTCCTTCTATACCCATTTTATTTAGAGCTTTTATCATAAATGGATGCTGTATCTTGTCAAATGCTTTCTCTGCATCTATTGAGATGATCATATGATTTTTATTCTTCATTTTGTTAATGTGGTGTATCACGTTGATAGATTTGCAGATGTTGAACCATCCCTGCATCCCTGGAATGAAACCCACTTGATCATGATGTATGATCTTTTTAGTGTATTGTTTTATTTGATTTGCTAGTATTTTGTTGAGGATTTTTGCATCGATGTTCATCAGTGATATTGGCCTGTAATTTTCTTTTTTTCTGTTGTCTTTGTCTGGTTTTGGTATCAGGATAATGTTGGGTTCGTAGAATGAGTTAGGAACCCTCCCCTCCTCTTCAATTTTTGGAAGAGTTTGAGAAATATAGGTATTTAGTCTTCTTTGAATGTTTGGTAGAATTCACCAGGGAAGCCATCTGGTCCTGTACTTTTATTTTTTGGGAGGTTTTTGATTGCTGTTTCGATCTCCTTACTGGTGATTGGTGTATTCAAATTTTCTACTTCTTGGTCCAGTTTTGGAAGGTTGTATGTTTCTAAGAATTTATCCATTTCTTCTACATTATCCAATTTGGTGGTGTATAGCTTTTCGTACTATTCCCTTATCTTTTGTATTTCTGAGGTGTCCGTTGTAATCTCTCCTCTTTCATTTCTGATTTTATTTGAGCCTTCTCTCTTTTTTTCTTGGTGAGTCTAGCTAAGGGTTTGTCAATTTTGTTTATCTGTTCAAAGAACCAGTTCTTGGTTTCATTAATTTTTTCTGTTGTTTTTTTAGTCTCTATTTTGTTTATTTCTGTGCTGATTTTTATTATTTCCTTCCTTCTGCTGATTTTGGTATTTCTTTGTTGTTTTTTTTCCAGTACCTTTAGATGCACTTTTAGATTTTCTATTTGGGATTTTTCTTCTTTGTTGAGGTAGGCCTGAATTGCTGTAAACTTCCCTCTTAGAACTGCTATTGCTGTATCCCACAGATTTTGGCGTGTCATATTTTCATTTTCATTTGTCACCTGGAATTTTTTGATTTCTCCTTTGATTTCTTCATTGACCCAATTGTTGTTCAGTAGCATTTTGTTTAATCTCCACGTTTTTGTGGCTTTTCTGGTTTTCTTCCTGGAGTTGATTTCTTGTTTCATACCTTTGTGGTCAGAAAAGATGCATGGTATTATTTCGATCTTCTTAAATTTATTGAGACTTGTTTTGTGGCCTAATATGTGATCAATTTTGGAGAATGTTCCATGTGCATTTGAAAAGAATGTGTATTCTGTGGTTTTGCATGGAATGTACTATATATATCTACTAAGTCCATCTGGTCTAATGTGTCCTTTAAGGCCAGTGTTTCCTTATTGATCTTCAGTTTGCATGATCTATCCATTGGTGTAAGTGGATTGTTAAAGTCCCCTACTATTATTGTGTTACTATTTCTCCTTTTATGTCTGTTAATAATTACTTGATATATTTTGGTGCTCCTATGTTGCATGCATAGATATTTACAAGTGTTATATTTTCTTGTTGGATTGTTCCCTTCATCATTATGTAGTGCCCGTCTTTGTCTCTTGTTACAGTTTTTGTTTTAAAGTCTATTTTGTCTGAGGTAAGTATTGCTACCCCCGTTTTCTTTTCTTTGCCACTTGCATGGAATATCTTTTTCCATCCTTTGACTTTCAGTTGGTGAGTGTCTTTAGGTCTGAATTGTGTCTCTTGTATGCAGCATATACATGGGTGTTGTTTTTTTTATCCAATTGGCTACCCTATGACATTTGATTGAAACATTTTGTCCATTGACGTTTAAAGTAGCTATTGATAAATATGTATTTATTGCCATTTTGTTGGTTTTTTTGGTATCTTTTAGTAGTTCTTCTCTGTTCCTTTCTTTTCCTCTTGCTCTCTTCCCTTGTGGTTTGATGGCTGTCTTTAGTAATAGGTTTGATTTCTTTTGTCTTACATTTTTGCCTACTTATTATAGTTTTCTGATTACCATGAGGATTCTATGTAATGTTCTATGTATATAACAG